GGTGCATGCATGCATGCAGGTGGATGCATAAAGATGCATGCATACAGGTGCATGCATGCATGCATCCTTGTGGTTTAGGAAAGGCGCTGCGCTGTAATGCATGAAGGTAAAAAGCATCAAATGTTTTCAATTGCCTCTAGCCCTACTCACCGTAAACCCTAAACCCTAATGCACTAAAACACTATTCTCCAGTTGTTTATGCAGCAGCAGCAGCAGCAGCAATAGCAGCAGCAGCAGCAGCAGCACAATCAAACGATGTGCTTCTCAATAAACCCCAAAAAGCGCTCTGTGCACAAACACCACATATCCACACGCCGCCCTTAGGGTTTGGGGTTTAGGGTTTAGGGTTTAGGGTTTAGGGTTTAGGGTTTAAGGGGAAATGTGTACAGAGGCACTGTGGGCTTAGAGATGGGCCGCAGGGATTTGAGTGTGAAGTTCGAGAAGGAAAGTAAGGCCTCTGGTTTAGCGGCTGATTAGGGTTTAGGGTTTAGGGTTTAGGGTTTAGGGTTTAGGGTTTAGGGTTTACTGGCGTAGAAGGTCGGATTGACGCAGGAAATCCCGTCTGCATCGCAGGTCCTGCAGCAGACGCAAAAGGAGAAGTTGAGGTGTATATGCAGCTTTGGTTGGGGATAGTATATTCAGGTGTATGTGCACCTATATGTAGGCTGTTAGGCTCTACACCCAGATCAGCTCAAACCCTAAACCCTAAACCCTAAACCCTAAACCCTAAAAGGTAAACCCTCTGTCGTCGTTGTCGCCTGTTCTCTTCTCTTCCCGAGCATCGTCCACGACAGTCTACAGGCGTGTGCAAATTACGGTTTAGGGTTTAGGGTTTAGGGTTTAGGGTTTAGGGTTTATCTTACTGGATAGCCTTTACTGCGTGTTCAGTCCTCTTAAAGGTCCCCCACTTCGTAAAGACATCGATGACGCCTATATAAAATAATTTACTTTTGTCTTTGCTAGCGAGACCCCCTAACTCCTGCCTCCAGAAGGGCACTGCTGCAGCACCACAAACCCTAAACCCTAAACCCTAAACCCTAAGATCTGGACGCGCGCTGCAGACGCGTGTGCGTACACCTGAAACCGTAAGCTCGAAGAGTAGGAAGAAACAGTTGCTGCTGCTTTTGCTTGTAAGAAGCAACACTTAACTCTAAACCCTAAACCCTAAACCCTAAACCACCCTAAACCCTCATTTCAGTGCTTACTGCTGTCTGCGTTCATCGCTTGGCTTGTGCTGCACGCCCACAAACCGCATCATAAACCCTCCCCCATAACCTCAAAACCCTAAACCCTAAACCCTAAACCCTAAATCGTAAACTCTAAACCCTAAACCCTAAACCCTAATTTATCTGGCGACATTTTCACTTACAGTGAAGTTGGCACTGCGATTTTCCCGACGCCTCCTTCCGCTATGGGCGCAAGCAAACCACAAACCACCCTAAACCCTAAACCCTAAACCCTAAACCCTAAGCCCTAAACCCTAAACCCTAATCCCTAAACCCTAATTCCTAGTAAACCCTAATTCAAACCGTAGGGCCTAGAGAGACGGAGTTGAAAGCCGATGGGCCCTGCTGCGGCCAAAGCACGGGACAACCGTGAGGGTTTAGGGTTTAGGGTTTAGGGTTTAGGCTTTACCTGCATTCTTATTAGCGTAATAAATGCCGATAAGAAGTGAGTAATCCATAAGGCGGTGCACACACAAAAAGTTAGCGTCTTGCTGCAGCTGTTTCAGCAAACGCGCTGCCTTTTCGGGGCCAATATCGATCTGCAACACCCAAACCCTAAACCCTAAACCCTAAACCCTAAACCCTAAACCCTCAAGCCCTACCCTCCGCTATCAACTTCGGTGGCGCGCCACTTGCTACGCAGCTAGAGTCCAAAGAGGCGTACACCCTAAACCCTAAACCCTAAACCCTCAGCTATCGTTCTGCTGGGCAGACACCCACGCAACGTGCCGGCTGGCCTGCAAACCCTAAACCCTAAACCCTAAACCCTAAAGAGATGCACCTTTTCGCCTTCGCGTTCGAGATCATTATCTTTCAAAGCCACCGTTGGGTCCCTGCACACACAACCGCAATTCAGCGTCTACTCTGTCTCCTCTGTTTCTTTATGTCTTCTGTCTCCCTTAGGGTTTAGGGTTTAGGGTTTAGGGTTTGTTGTTGTTTCTGGTTTGGTGTTGTTTAGGGTTTAGAGTAGTTTAGTCTCCGTCGTGTTTTTCAGCGTTCTTCAGTGTTCAGGGTTTAGGGTTTAGCGTTTAAAGAATAGGGTTTAGGGTTTAGGGCTTGTCGGTGAGCGTACACCCGGCTTTCAAGAGCAACGACTAGGGTTTAGGGTTTAGGGTTTATCGGTGAGCGTACATCCGGACTTCAGGAGCAACGACTAGGGTTTAGGGTTTAGGGTTTAGGGTTTAGGGTTTATAGGTGAGCATACACCCGGATTTCAGGAGCAACGACTAAGGTTTAGGGTTTAGGGTTTAGGGTTTATAGGTGAGCGTACACCCGGATTTCAGGAGCGAGGGTTCGTTTGTACGAGGAGCCTTTGAGATCATATCTGCGGTGTATAGGCACCGGTGTATGAAATAAATTCTCCATTACTAAAAAATAAGTCTTCTGCTGTACCTGGTCTGTAAACAACCACAAACCCTAAACCCTAAACCCTAAACCCTAAACCCTAAACAGTATTTAAGCCACAAACCCTAAACCCGAAACCCTAAACAGCATTAAGCTACAAGTAGTAAACCTAGACCCTAAACATTAAGCAGCATTAAGGCACAAACCCTAAACCCTAGACCCCAAACAATATTAAACCACAAGTCATAAACCCTAAACCCTAAACCCTAAACCCTAAATCGTAAACTATAAAGACCAAAGCCCTCAAACCAGTAAACGCCCTAAACCCTAAACCCCAAACCTTAAACACTAAACCCTAAACCCTCAAACCCTACTCCATAAGCTCTAGAAACCGTAAAGGGCCTACAAGCCCTATAGCCCCTAAACCCTAAACCCTAAACCCTTGGTTGCTTACTTGCTAAAGTGCTGAGTTTGCGTCTGCTTGGATAAGCATGTTTAATTGCATGCAGCCCCAAACATCTCGTTAAAAGGCTGTCTGGATTTTGGACAAAGTGTTCATAGTAAGCTGGAAGCAAACGGCGCAGCTCCGCAGCTGCCGATCGAGACACCTGCGCAAACCCTAAACCCTAAACCCTAAACCCTAAACCCTAAACCCTTGAAGCGTACCAACCCCCACACGGAGCGCGTCCGGGCGGGATGCAAAACAGCACCCTAAACCCTAAACCCTAAACCCTAGCAAATCATAAACCCTCGAAAACCCTAATAAACCCTAAACCGCAAACCCTAGAGCCCACCTCTCCGCCGCAAACTCTAAACCCTAAACCCTAAACCCTAAACCCTAAACCCTAAACCCTAACAGACGCACCGTTTTAATGATGTACCTCCCATCTGCTGTGTAATAAAACAGAGCACCGCTCTTTCCCTCCGAAACCAACTCACACAGGGACGATAAACTTCCTGCAGCAGCAGCAGCAGCAACAGCAGCAGATGGAGCAGCTGGGGCAGCGACCGAACGACAGCCACAGCAACGCGCTTGGAAGCAGCAGCAGCTGCAGCAGCACCACCACCAACAACAACAACAGCAGCAGCACCAGCAGCACCACCACCACCAACAGCAGCAGCTGCTGCAGCAGCAGCAGCAGCAAAGCTGACCGAGTAGCAGGTTAGAGATAACTTGTTCAGGGCCGATGGAGTGTATATACACTGCCCTGTCTATTTGAAACATCTCCCTGAGTCGTCTAAACACCATCGGTGCATAGTCTGTAAACCTCACGGCGGTCTGCATGCATACAAAACCCTAAACCCTAAACCCTAAACCCTAAACCTCCCTCCACCCCTGAAACACAACAGACGTGCTACTACTCCTGGGGTACAGAAACGCTCCAGCAGAAAAACCCCAACCCTAAACCCTAAACCCTAAACCCTAAACCCTAAAAAGAAGAATCGCAGCTCTTAAGAGCCCAATCTGAGGGTTCATCAATTAGGGTTTATGAATACGGGTTAATGAATAAGGGTTTGAAAAGGAGTGAGGGTTTATGAATTAGAGTTTATCAATTAGGGTTAATGACAAAGGGTTTGGAAGTGCGTGAGGGTTAATGAATTAGGGTTTACGAATTAGGGTTTATGAATTAGGGTTTATGACTAAGGGTTAATGAATAAGGGTTAATGAATAAGGGTTTACGAATGAGGGTTTATGACTAAGGGTTTTTAAGTGCGTGAGGGTTTATAAAATAAGGGTTAATGAATTAGGGTTTATGACTAAGGGTTTGTAAGTGCGT